ATTCCAGCGATGGGAATACCTAAAAAAAAACCCTTTTCAGTAGGATGTTGGGAGTAATTTTCTCTTTCTACCACCAGAGTGAAATTATTTTGGGATGGTAGGTCAAAGCCCCAAAGTATTCTCATTGCAACCACGTTATTACTGGATTTCCTGCCACTCTTTGCATGGTGCAGTGCTGGGTCCTGGTTGCTAATTCATGCTTAACAGTTATTTTTGAAGGGAAAACCCCTTCTATAAAATGAATTCTTTTAATAAAGCGTGTGTGGGGAACGGTTTTTAGAAACAACAGCGCGATTCCCTTCACTTCAGAGGATGCTCATGGTAACAAGGAAGAAAGTCAAGGGTTTCTGTAATTGAATCAGAATATCCTGAGCAGGAAGGGACCCCCAAGGATCATCCCTCATGAATAATCCAATGGAAAAGCTACAAAAGGCAAGGTGGAGGCTGCTCCCCTGGTCAGAGGTGGAAAGCAGCCAACCTCCAACCCTGTGTTTCAGGCACTGAGGACACAGTGGAACAGTTCAGGCTCAATTCCACCCAGAAAATCAGACATTTCACCTGCCTGGGGACATCTGCAGGAGGAGGAGGAAGAGAACAAGGAGACCTTTCCCCTTTTTTTCAACCTCCTGGGGCAGCACAGTGATGCTTCACCCCTGCTCAGCATCCTCAGAGGACACCTCCCTTCAGACTCATCATCCTCCACTCCCCTGGGGCCTCATTTCTTTTCTGAAATTGGTCCCTCAGCCCCCTGGACATCTCAAAATCATTTTGGCCAACTGCAGATAACATCACCAGCTAAATGAGAGATTCAAGGGCAATTCCTTCCTGGAAAATGGCCATGGGTTGGAAAGGGGATTTCAGAGAGCACAAAGCAGAGCACATCCTTCCCTCATGGGGTCCCACAAATAAAAACCCCCTGAAAAGTAGATTCCATTTCTCTAACAGCTTCTGTTTCACAGAAATCACTTTCAGGCAGTTTTTGTAACAACAGGGGGCAAAACAATGATACGACTGAAAACCAGATCTGATTCAAACTTGATTTTCCTCTTTGGATACCCATTTCCAAATCAACAGCATGTGACAAGCATCAGTGCTGATGAGAAAGGCAACAGCTCCTGCACACTCCCAGAGGGTTTATTTCCAAGCCAGCATCCTGCAGCTGGCAGCAGCTTCCTGAGTTTTCAGGTTAAACTGCAAATCCTGCTGAGGAGTTTAGGGCCAAATTGAGTCAAGTTATCACAGCAGGGAAAGAATATTTCACCTGTGAGCACTGGGGATGGCTCCATGGGAGAAGAGAGAGGGGGGACATCTGTCAGGGGAGGCTCGGTCCTGTGCTTGGGATGATTCAGCTGCTGCTGGTGGAGGTGGAGATGGAGCAAACACAGCCTGGAGACCCCTGGGGGGGTAATGGAGATGTGCAAAACTGCCTGGTTTCAAAGCTTTGGCAGTAAAACACAAACTGCAGCCTCAGCAAGGTGAAATAAATTCCAACTTATCTCTAATTAGAGATGCTCCCCCATAGGAGCTCATAAATCAGCAGGAATTGCCCTGCCTCGTTCGTCCTGCTGTGATCACAAACAACTCAGACATCCCTTGGCAGAGGGCTAAAAGAGAAGAGAGCCCTGCCCTGTTTCCTCTGAGCCCAGAGAGTTTCCTCTGTCCCAGCCTTTGGGGACGGGCTGGGAGATCAGCACCACCAGAAGCCACCACGTGAAACTAAAGCTGAATACACAGAGCTCCAAATGCCCCCCCTGAGGAGGGTCTGCAAGGGCTGGGCTGCTCCAGGGGTGATTTAGGGAACTTTCCACGCTGATCTGAGGTCTGTGGGTATAAATCAGACATTAAAGTCGGGAACAACCCCCAGGATCAAGTCCAGCCTTTGGGCAAACGCCAGGGCCACTAAAGCACATCACAGAGTGCCACATCTGCTCGTTGTCTGAGCAGTTCCAGGGATGGTGACTCCACCATCCCAATGCCAAACCATGCTTTAGTAGGGAAATTTTTCCTGATATCCTCCCCTGGCACAACTTGAGGCCGTTTCCTCTTGTCCTGTCACTTGTTCCCTCAGAGAAGAGCCCGACCTCTCCTTGCCACCACCTCCTTGCAGGGAATTTCAGCGAGTGACTGAACAGCTCCCAGCACCTGTGAGAGGTTCCATCCCGTACACAATTCCATGGTCAGCAGGAATAATTTGGCAAGGACACGCTGGAATCTCATCCTCCCTGTCCTGCCAAAGGAACAGGAGCTGAGCAGGCAGAACAAGCTGCAAATTCATCCCTTTGGGAGGGGTGTGGGCCAACTCTGGAGCCACTAAAAATCAATGGGAGCTTTCTCTCCATCCTCAATGGACAGCAAACAAGTTGAATCACATGTCTGAAGGGGTGGGCTCACCCCCAAAGTCAGAGCCAGAACTCCTGATTGATTCCAGGGCTGTTTCCCAACAGAAACCATAGCACAGTGAATAAAATCATCAAGTTCAGCCCCAGCCCCTGAAATAAAAAGTGCATCATTTAATCTAGTTCAGCTGTGTTTCCGCAGATCTTTGTGGAAAAGCCATTATTAGATCCATACTCAAGAGTTTAAAGCCTTTTTATTTGCTGAAAGCCTGTGTTTCTATAAGCACAGGGCTTAGGGTATCATTAATCCATATTCTGTTACTGTGGCACAGCAGATTCCTCACTTGGTGAAAATATGTTCAATTTCAGAGACAACTAGCATGGGGAAAAAAAAAATAGGAAAAAGGAGGGAAGAAAAAGGGAAAAAGAGGGAGGAAGAAAAAAGAAAAAAAGGACAAACCTGAAATGAATGTGACATATCAAAAAGCAAGTATTCGGGGGAAATATTAGCACTTTTATCATAATGAGTTTGTGACCTAAATACATATTTCAAGGATGAAATTGCTGACCCTGACTGCCCTCCACAGGAGGCTGAATGGCTCAATCGCAGTTTAATCTTCCCTGAAAAGGCTACAGAAAAACAACACAGCCCTTGAAGAACAACACACATGGCCAAGATTCACAATTTAACTCTTAAAAGGAGGGGGGAAAAAACCCCTCAGATCCCAGCCATCATTCTCAAAACACCCAGCAGTCATTTCCTCAGAAATAAAAATGAGATAAAATAAAAAACACAGAGCACATGATGAGGATGGAAAATAAGGGGTTGCTCAGATGAAGGGTGAAGCTTCACATGCCCATTTTTATTGTTTCTTGGAGGCAGAGCCTTTGTAGTAAACTGAAATCACTCTGTATTTCCTAATTCACCTAATTCTGGTTGCAATCCCTTTGCTTACAGAGGACAAAAAAATTGTTTTGTCAAAGCCCACCTTGAGAAACCCTAATGTTTTTTTCTTTAATCCAAATGTTTCTAAGCTGATTATGCTGTTTTAGCAAACTAAAATATAATTTTGGAGTCAAAAATGTATCCATTTCTCCGAGTGCCCCACCACTGCTGGAAAAGAGCAAGCTTTGTTTTTAAATCCAGTCTGCTCAGGCAGGAATCAGCCAGAGCAGGTATGTGAGAAGAGGATGAGTTTCCATTCAAATAGTTCCTGGCTACTGCACTTGTCAGGATCACAGAATCCCACAATGGTTTGGGTTGGGAGGGACCCTAAAACTCATCTCATTCCCACCTCCTGACCTGGGGACACCTTCCACTGTCCCAGGCTGCTCCAGATCCCATCCCAGCCTGGCCTTGGGCACTGCCAGGGATCCAGGGGCAGCCAGAGCTGCTCTGGGAATTCCATTCCTGTGTGGGATTAGGAGGATCCTCCTGTCTCATGCTGAGCTCTGAAGCCCAGATTTGAGGAGCTGCTACCTGGCTCCCAGCTTGTCCTTTTCCGATGGATTTTGGGAAAGGGTGACCCTGCTCTGCTGGGAATGGCCATGGCCTGGGGACAGAGCCTGTGGGGAGAGCAGCAGCCCAAGGGGGTGTTTTTGAAGCAATTCCCTTGACATGCTGAGACCTGGAGTGATGGGAATGGGCTGGAGGCAGCTGCTCATTCCCCATCCCCAGGGAAGATCCACCTTCAGTCGGGCAAACTCCAGCTGGGCACAGGCAGGAGGATAATTTATTGTCAACTGCATGGGGAGACTGAGGACTTGGCTTCACCCTCTGCTTTATCCCTCATTACAAATCATCTCTCTAAAGCGTGTGAACCTGGGGGTTATTGCCATTTTTATCTTTTCATTTCTGTAGCTGGAGCACATCAGCTTCTCTCCCCAGTCAGTCAACAGCACCTTTCATTTCACCATTCTCCATTACTGAGAACTCCATGCCTGGGAAGGCTCTGCCTTGAGCTCCTGCACGGGATATTCCTGCTGGAGTTCCTCCCAGCTCACCAGCACAGGGAAATCACACAGCTGAGGGATGAACAAGCCTCTGTATTTATTCTCTGCCTTCACCTTCACAACCACAAGAGCAAAAAGACACCTCGTGGTCCTGTGCCATCATTTGCTTGCTCTCACAGAAAGGGTTTTGCATAATTTCATATAATGTTAATTAACAGCAAGATCCTGCCTTTTCTTATCCTCAGCTTTTGACAAGATGCTGCAACTCTGCTTGAACCCAAAATAAACACAGAGCTGCCCGCTTTCCCCTTTACCCTCAGAGTGCCCACGCCTGATGCTCCACTCGAACCCAGGACTTGTGAAACCTCTCTCTGTGAATTCATCCCTTGTGGAGATTGTGCTCCTTTTGAACGTTCTGAAGCTTTAATTCTCCAAGGAAAGGAAAAAAATCAATGGTGAGATCCCATTTGCCAGATCCTTTCCTAGGTAACCTCTTCCTCAACGAATAAGACATTTTACCCTGTATAATCCACACAACTTCAGCTAAATAATGATAGTTCAAGATCCGTACTCCTTACTCACATTTCCCCCGTTTCTCACTCCATGAATTAAGGGAACACCCCATAACCCACCAGGAAAAGTTGGGAAAAGACCCCCCAGCTCCCAGTTTTTCCAGCACACTGTGGGAACAGAGGCTGCCTCCTTACTTACAAGCAAACTGCAGCTTTGCTTCTCTGCTGACAATCGTTCCGAAGGGGTTTGTTGCTACACACTGGTACGTTCCAGCATCCTGGCTTTTATTGGGATTATTGATCAGCAGGTTGCCTTCCACCAGGCTGTAGCGGTAATCCATGCCCACATCAATACTGCTTCCATTTAACTTCCACCTAGAGCACAGAATGCCAAAGTTAAACTCTGCTGATGCTCTTGGGCATTTGGAAACACAGCGTGAAGTAAGTGAAGGAAGATTTAGAACGGCTCTGACTACTTATTAAAAATAATAAAAATTAAAAAAAAGATGGCACAAAAATGCAAATTTCCTGAGTGCTATTGAAATAATCCAGTATTTAACTGAAAGAGCAATATCTTTGACATATATTTCAGTCTCTGAAATGATTAATGCTTCTGTAGTTGCTGGTGCTGCTGCTCTTTGGAATTAATCACTTGGCAAGGGGAAGTCCCTGAGACAGGATCTCTAACCCATTCAAGTCCACTGAGGATTTGTTTTTCCCCCTCTCCCGACTTGCTGGCTGTTTATAAATTTAAGAGAATTCCCTCCTGGCAGATGTTGTCACAAAGTGGGGCACTGAGGAATTCCAGCCCCAGCCAGAGCAGCCCTGGATGGAGCGAGGGGGACACAGCCCCCTCCCACCTCTGGAGGGCACAGAGAAACTCTGGAGATGTGTCTGCACCATGAATCCATGGATTTCATGGCATGAAATAGCTGCCTGTGTCAGGAGACAGCACAGAGGCAGAGGCCTGGTGGCTCTAATTGGTTTCAGAGTGGCATTTACTGGTGAGCAGAGCGAGGGAGGCACCAAAGGAAAGAGAAGAGCAGCACCAATGATTTACAGCAGGCACAGCCCTGCAGGAGGACAGCACCCTCCTCCTCCAAGGATCCCGAAGCAGCTGCTAAAGCTGAGAAGAATGAGGAGTTTTGTCCATGTTTGTGGGAAAGGATGGTTAATCTGAGAGCCAGGACTGCTTATAATCCTTTTGTAGCATTTTAGAACTCCTGTGCAAATGTTGCAGTTCCTGGAGATTTCTGGGTGTCCATTCCCTCTGTTCCTAATGCTCCAGGATCACAGCACATCCTGAGCTGGAAGGGACCCACAAGGACCATCAAAGTCCAACTCCTGCCCAGGACACCCCAAAAACCCCACCCTGGCATCCCGGGAGTGCTGTCCAAAGGCTCCTGGAGCTCTGGCAGCCTCGGGGCTGTGCTCATTCCCTGGGGAGCCTGGGCAGTGCCAGCACCCTCTGGGGGAAGAACCTTGCCCTGATCTCCAACCTGAACCCCCTGACACAGCTCCAGCCACTCCCTGAATCCTGTCCCTGCCACAGGGAAGAGGTCAGAGCTGCCCCTGGGGGTTTTTTTGGGAGCAGCACTGTGGAGGCCTCCAGGAGCATCACTGACACGCAGGAGAAAGGCTGGTGAAGGTTCTGAGAACAGTTTAAACATTGAACAAACCCAATGGTCGGTCTGGGATTTCCTTTCACTTCACAGCTCAGCTTCACTTTCTTCTCCTCCGAGTCCAAGGGGAAGATGACGCTGTTGGGCTCCTGGAGGAACACCGGCCCGTGCAGGGTGTTGTCATCTGCATTAGACAGGGAAAACGGGACAGGTCACTCATGGAATCTCCATGTTCCAGGCTTAAAACGTAAAACAGAGTCTCAGCAGCAAGAGGCCGTGTGTCATTCACCTTGGAAAAGAGCTGATGACACTTTATTTAGTTTATAACACCGGGGATTTTTTACCAAAACCACTGAACTTCACATGGAGTCATGGGAATGTCCTACACTAAACAGAGCACAGAATGAAACCTCATCCAGAGTTCAAACAATGGGAACAGGCACTGTTGTCATAGCAAAGCTCAAATCACAGTCCTCAGCTTCACCTTTAAAAATGGAGATCTTAAAAATGGAAATGTTTTCCTTGCAAATTAAACTTCCACATTGTTAATCACAATAATAAAAATGAGCCTGAGGGTCCCCAGCACGTCCGGCCCCAGTGCAAGTGGTTCTGGCATCCCTGACTTCCATGTGCCCAGCCCTGACAAGGACATTCTACACCTGTGCCCTTCAGAGCATTCAAAACTCACACTAAATATAGGTAGAAGAGGGAAAATATTTTGGTGAAACAACCTGGCATGACCTCCAAGGAGCTCAGGAGTCATTTCCCAGCAATCCAACGTTCTGAGGCTGGCGATTACCGACGGGAGCCTCCCTTGCACTGACTTTCCTTCTTCATTTTAAAAATACACTTTTGTTTTCTGAGCTGTTAACTCCTTCCTATCTCCTCGAGCACTTTTTGCTTTCACCTTGTCAATTTATCCTCTCCCAGAGCTGGAGCTGAGGGTGGGAGCTGCTCACAGGCCCGTCCCTGAGGTGCAGCTCTTCCCGTACCGCTTTGCAGCGAGCACAGAATTTCAGGGAATTCACTGACACCGCTCAAAACACCCACAGAAAGCCCCGACTAAATTCACTGCTCTCCATCCTGTTTGTACCAGACAGTTTTATCTCCAAAGTGGCTGTTCAGAACACAAAAGAAGCCAACTTTTCCTCCCTGAAAAGATCAGCTATCTTGATTTCACCGAGACTTTTCCTCTCATCAGTGTCAATGTCTGGCTGCTCCTCCAAGTTCAGTGCAAGTGAGGACACGGTGGAAGTGATCACAGTCAGAAAGTCTTTCAGCAGACTGGAAGGAACCTTGGTTTAACATTTTTAGATCATCTTCCAATCTTTTGCTGCCCTGTCTTTACAGCAGACTCTGTTCTTTCAGTGCGCAGGGACCCGCAGGGATGTGAACACGGAATTCGCTTCAGTCAGGCTGCTGGAAGCAGATGGAAAACATAAAATTTGTGGGTACAGGAGGTCAGGGGAAAAGGAATAAATAAAATATAGAGATGATGGGATGTAAAAAAAAAAAAAAAATTGAGAAAAAAAAAAGAATGGGCAGATGATGATGGATCTTCCAGATGGAAGGAAGGTGAGAATAAACGGGAATAACCCTCATATTCCCTGACACCAGGAAATCAGCTGGATTTACTAAGGACAGAACAACAGCCCTTCACTCCAGGGAGAGCAAATCCATGTCCACAGAAGTGTTTCACAGAGACTCTGCCAGGAAGATTAGAAAGGAACCAGCTCTCCCCCGTGTCTCCTCCCTCAGGCCCCACCACAACAGAGGATGCACCAAGCCACAGCCCCAGGCCTTGTATTTATCTTTAGTTTTAATTATGTGCTAATGATACCTGACTGAAACTCATCTGCTATTCAAAACGCATTTCACACGGTCTCTAGCTCTAAATTACACCTGTGTGCAACTCATGTTGCTGTTGGGAAAAGATAATAATAGCCATAAAGCATAAGGGACTGGATTATGGCATCCAGACTTGTTCCTGAGACCCAGGGCTGCTGCACTCCCTGAGCAGTCTCATTCACCCTAAGAAAGAATATTATAGCCTGGCCCATAAAGATTATAGCTCTGAGAACTGTAGGAGTGGGTTTGAAAGCAAGAGATTTAAAATATATTTGAATGCATCTGGTTTCCTCATTGGAAAATACAGAAGTGCTCGGTGTAAACTCTGTGTAAGAGTTCCCTCAGACCCCAGAAGCACAGAGTCTGATGGGGGCACGAGCCAGACCATCCCAGATAATCCAGTTAGGGACCTGCTGACTCAGGGATGTGTTGGATTGCCTGTCACCTGCCTCACACCCCTCTCTGGGCTGTCATCTGCTGTTATTTCAATTAGAGAGTGTCAATTTATATCACATCACACCAAAGGTCAGACTTTGGGACCCCCTCCCATCACAGGAAAACACAGCTTGCATTGCAAGTGAACACTTCATCTGCTTGAGGTGGGGAACAGGAACAAATCTGAGGGTCCAAAAGTGTCCCCACACATCCAGGACATCCCCTGGCTGCAGGAGCAGGGGTAAATGAACAACATCCTGTTCTTCAGGGGTTAATGAAGCTGGTCCACACCAAGCAGTGGGAGTCAGTGTGTGAGAAGCACCACATGCTGTCTGTGTAATTAATTACTGAGCCATTTACAATTCAAAAAACACAGACTCCAGACAGAGAACGAAAGATAGAAATAGGCACAAATAGGTGAGAATGCTGGATAACTCAATTTACCTAAGCTGAAATAGAAGCTCATGAAAGATCAAATGAAAACACTTCCAAATATTCCACCTGCTGCTGATGCTGTTCAACATTTAGCTTTTATATGACAAAAAAACCCAAACCACCTGCCCTTCCTGTTGGGCAGCAAGAGGAAAAATCCTGGTGTGATTTTTCAAGCTGAGGGAGCTGGGCAAGGCAGGGAGAAGCTCTGAGAGCAGCTGCAGCCTATCAGAGGAACAGAGGAGCAGCAAAAACCTCGCAACACTGGCCAGATAAAATTATTTTGGGTGCCTTTCTTCTTCCTCTCATTGCTGCCTGTGTACAACCAAGATAAGCAAGTGCAAACTATTTAATCTTCAGCCTGTGGAGTTGCTTTGCTAGAGCCTTAATGTGTGATTGAAATCACTGCAGCCCAGATCCCACCTCTGGGTGATAAGGGCTGAGCCACAGAACCTGACACAGGAGGAGGATTTGGTTCACAGAGCACTAAAGCATCACTAATAAATGAGACAAGCTGCCATCTAGATTCTTGCAGACAGGAAACTACAAGTGCCTGCACCAGAAAAAGCCCAGTTTTGGCTAAGTTGTGTTACTCAGATGTTTCTTGTCAGCACAGCCAAAGGCATTTGCTCTACTGAAACGTCTGATTTTGTGGGAGAAACTTTTTGGTATTTGGATAACTCTGAAATCCAAATTCTACACTTTTTCATTTTTTTTTTGAAAATAAATTCAAAATGCTAACTGTATTTGTGTCACAGTAATGTCCAGGGACTTGCACTCCAAGAGTGATAACACATTTTTGGCTTATCACTGGTGAACACTCAATGCACAGAAACCACCGAGGCCAGGAGGAAGCTCTTTGCTGTGCTTAGAAGCTTTTCTCCTCACCCTTCTCATCAGAATGTGTCTCATAGACTCTTTTTTGGTCATTTCATCAAAGAAAGAACAAGGAGCAGCACATATCTGTGTACACACACCTGAAAATGCTCAGTTATTTCAGCCCACTTCCCCTTTACACC